GCAAACTTACGGTACCAAAGAGCAAATTTCCTTGCTAACATTTTCTAAGCCAGTGTGTTGGATCTAGTTTTCTGCTTCATGGAGAAACGTTTTCCATGGGTATTTTCATAAGGAAATAATGCTTCTTTGATTTAGTCTGCGTATTAAAAAAATCAGTGGAATGCTAGCCATACTTCTAAGTCCCTGACTGCTGTGGATAACTGGTGGCCAGTACATTTCTTTCATTTTGGTAAGATGCAAAGCTATATATTTGCATAGTATTTTATTAACTTTAAAAAGTAGATTATGTGATTCATTTCTATTTTATTTTTAACTACGTTAATTGAGATAAAGTTAAAATATTGTGCATATTTATCACAGTGAACTTTATTTTTGTTTTCTGTCTAAGCTGGATAATGCAGATGAACAAGCAGCCCAGATCAGGCGTGAACTAGACGGACGCCTACAACTGGCAGAACAAATGGCAAAGGTAAGCGGCTGCTTTCACCTACCAAAAACGTATCCTCATATGAGAGTGAGTGGGAGTATATGTAATATGTGTTTCTAGCTTCTGATTCTAAAACTAAGCAGAAGATCATTTGAAAGCATAACAGTTTGGAAGATACGTTTCTTTTTGGCTCTGAAGTATACATGGCAATAGGGGTTAGGAGAAGGCAAACCTTTGAAAAGTCATATATTGTGTGATCCAATTTTCCCATCATCAGTAAGTCCAGAGGGAAAACAAAGGGTACGTTATTTATGTGTTCGGGATTATGTGTTTTGGAGCTAAAGCAAGCCAGCTCATGTATAGAAAAGGACATTGTGCTGTGCCTAGGGTTATAAACGTTTATATCTTATAAAAAAGTTTATATCTTACTACATGTTATATGCAATATACTTTTTAAGTATATATAATATACTTTACCTCGTCTAAGTTCTTAATGGCTATATTAGCATTGCAGGTAACAAAGCTTTTGAGTGATTCTTACAGATGAAATTAATGGTGATTAGTTAAATTAAAATTATTTTTGTAAATTTTAGAAAGCCAAATATATTTTTCTCTGCTGCAGCTTGTACCTTGTTTAAATGAACAAGATTATTTCCAGCTATATTAAATACCACAGGTGGGATTGTTACCCTTCCCAGCCATATCTTATTAAATTTGGGGGCAAGAATCCTTTTTTGCAGAAAGTCAATGAGTCTCAAGTCTCTTCAGGCTTCTGTGAAGCCTGTGGTTATTAACTTGCCCAATAATCCTATGTTAGCTCTGTTGCCACCTTGCCTTTAGCTGCAAAAGTTACCAAATATTGCAAGCATACTTATATAAATATATAGCATGTCTACATGTAGGTAGACTTTTTAAAGGAAATGTTCTTTATCCTTTCTGTACCAGAACTATCACTTGAAAGTTGTTATGGTTCAGACAGTGTCAGTTGCAGAATTTCACACAGAATAAGGAACTCCATGTCTTACATGATATAGCCAAGGTAGAAATCATAATTTTCATATGTCTTTTGAACTGCTTAAAATGTAGAAATTTTTGTGGGGACTTTTGAGAGCTTTTGTCGCTAGTTCTAATTCCAGCAGCTGTGAGAATTTTGAAGGTCATTCAAGCCTAAAGAATCAAAAGCTCTAAAATGAACTTCCTCTCTCGTCTCAGAGCTCAAAAACAAAGAAAAATCTTTTTGGTACTGGATTACGTATTCTAGCATCTTTCCTGATAAGGAAGCTGTTTTTCAGTGATTACCTCCCCTTAAGAGAATTGTTAAAATGCAGTCTCAAAAGATCAGCACATCTAAAGAGAGATCTCTGCATTTAGTATTTTTAAGATCTCAGTCATGATTTCTATAATATATTACTTTCTGGTTTTGAGATAAAAGTTGTTAATTATGTATACCACAAGTTTATTTGAGGGAGAAAAAAAATAGCCTACATACTGGAGACAAGAATCTTAGAAATATGTTGATCTGTTTCTTCATCTGACTAAATTTAAAATAATTGAAATCAACGTATAAGTGACCTAATGGGATTTTCTACCTATTATAATTGGTGGTATGCTATTTTAAGATAATTTTTATGTGATCTTATGAAGAGACTGGCTAGTGCTGTTTGTCTTTGGGAACTGCGCCCTGAAATCTGTTTTAGATCTAAAGGCTTGTGTGTTTATCGGCCTGATCAGCTTCTCACACCTTTCCCTAGTGTTTTTGTTTTAGGATACATTCCAGCATGTTGCAATCACAGCCCCCAAAATTGCAGTGTTGTACTGGGGCATATGCTCTTCTTTACAAAGTTTGGGCTTTTCAGATCAACATAGTTACATTCCTCTGCATCTGGACTAAAAAATACCACTGTGAAAGAAAACATTCTATTCTTGGTGTGCTGCCTCTAAGATATTTGAAATATTGGTATATTGTAGCAATTTGTAAGAAGCTGACTGTCCTAAAAAATAAAGGGAGAGTAATCTCAGAGTCTTTATAGAGGTTTCTCACCTTATTTTCTTGAGAGAGAGATGTGGCTAATGGTGGCTCCATTTGCAGAAATGCCCAAGTGCTCCAGCTGTGAACCAAACATTCAGGTTTTACAGGTTTGAAATAAAGGCCTCCATTTATTCTGACAGTGCTGCATATCTTCCATTAGTACTACCTTAAATCATGGAAGATTATTGTCATAAAAAGCAAAAGATACTGTAAAAAGTTTTCCCAACTTTTACTTTTGGGGAGCGGAGGTGGGAAGCCTCCTAAAAAGAGGAAAAGATCTTTTAACAATATAATTAAGTCTGTCATTTATCTTCCATTTTGACATATTATTATTTAAAAGGTCCCCATGAGATAAGGTATAGCTTGTAAAACACTATAAAAGTTTTTTGGCTAGAGCATTCTGAGCCTTTCTTCATGTTTTTGGTGTCTGATTAGAAATAATTTTTTTTTCCTTTTCAAATTGTAATATACTGGCTTTGTAATGCTATAATGAATCAGACTACTAGACTCACTGAAAATGTTCTGGGTCACAGTTAGCTTGCCTGGTCATCATTATCCAAACAAAACCAACCGTAAAGGATTTAATATAAAACATCTTAGGATATTCCTCATAGTACTCATAACAGTTAATAATAAAAATTGTGTACTTTAGAATAGAGAAGCCTACCTTTACAGACTATAAGTGGGGAGTAGTGTTCCATATTTATATATAAAATATATATTTTAGAATAATTTATATTTTTGTTTAATCGTGAGTAACGTTATTCTCCCAAGTTGTTTTATATTCAATATTAGGGGAAAAAATAGGCATATAATTTGTCTCTATGTGTGTTCACTTCTGTATTACATGTATTTATGTGTTCCCACTTTTGTTATAAACACAGTATTTAGACACTATCATCTAACTACTACAGAGGAAAAAAAGTGAAATTTAAGTTCTTGCTAATGTTTATGTTTAAACTAATTCTTTGTACAGTAGATTCAGCATTACTTTCTAAATGAATGACTTACTTATGATTAAAAATAAATGGTGATAGGAAATTCATGGTGTGGCTGCAATTTAACTGTTTACTGTTAAAAGCATGAATATGATTGACTTACTTTTGGTGGCAGGGGAAATGGATGAAGCAACAAAATCATTACTGGACAATTCATTTGGTCAACTTATAAAATATCGGAAGGGAAAATTAAAGGTATACTTAAAGCTTATGTAGAAGGAATGTATAATATGCGCACAAATATTCAGCCTGGATTTAAGGTTGAATGAATCTGAGGGGAAAGAGGTTCCTTTTTACAGATGCCCCTTATTATTTTTCTGAAACGTTCAAAAAGATATTTAATCCAGTGTAGTTGAAGAATATGATGGAATTGCATTTCTTCTGGTCAAAATTAGCTGTGTAATATGACAGGGTTAGCATTTCCTTACTGATTTGAAGGGCTAAAAATAAATACTGGAATTAAGATTTTTATTTTTATAAACTGTCTCTGAGAGAGAGCAAATTAATAAATTAACAGAATGTATAATGTGGCATCATAACTGATTTTTTGTCCCTAACTTTTAAAATATATCTTCAAAGGAAAGAAAATTTCCCAAATTTGTAACAAGAGAAATGGAGAATATGTACATAGAAGAGTTGCGGTCTTCAGTGAATTTGCTTATGGCAAATCTGGAAAGTCTTCCAGTTTCTAAAGGTGGGCCAGAATTTAAACTGCAGAAGTTGAAGCGATCACAGAATTCTGCTTTCTTGGACATAGGAGATGAAAATGAGATTCAACTATCAAAGTCTGATGTCGTCCTCTCGTTCACATTAGAGGTAATCACACATTTCAGCTAATATTTCTTGACAGTTTATATGACTAGGATACCTATTTCTTGATACTTTTTTCTCATTAATCTTTCCTTGGTTTTGTGATTACTTCTATCATTTTAATGTTTTATTTTAAATAAGTAAATAAATTATGTTCTGTCTCTTTGATAATTAGGATTTGGAATGCAAATGTATGATGCATTTTCCTTTTGCATTAGTAGCTGCTTTTGGGTTCAAACAATAGTGTGGGCAAGTGAATTTCCCACACAACTGTTGTAACTCTAAACAAATGTCAGTGCATTAACATTATGTTTACTGAGATTAAGCAGGAAAACTTCAGGGAAGCAGTTCCCTGAGCATATAGGGCTCAACTGATTTCAGGAGGAAACCAAAAAATAGAGCTAGTTGTTCACACATATCTGATTTTAGGATCACAGAATCATAGAATCATGGAATGGTTGAGGTTGGAAGGGACCTCTGGAGATCATCTAGTCCAACCTCCCTGCTCAAGCAGGGACCTCTAGAGCCCATTGCCCAGGACTGCGTCCAGACGGGTTTTGAATATCTCCAGCGAAGGAGACTCTACCACCTCTCTGGGCAACCTGTTCCAGCGCTCTGTCACCCTCACAGGAAAGCAGCTTTTCCTCATGTTCACATGGAACTTCCTGTGTTTCAGTTTGTGTCTACTTCCTGTTTTCCTGTCACTGGGCACCACGGAGAAGAGTCTGTCCCCATCCTCTTGACATACTCCCTTCAGATACTTGTACACATTGATCAGATCCCCTCTCAGTCCTCTCTTCTCCAGGCTGAACAGGCCCACCTCTCTCAGCCTTGATGCTCCATGTCCCTTCATCATCTTAGTAGGCCTTTGCTGGACTCAGTCCAGGAGCTCCATGTCTCTCTTGTACAGGGGAGCCCAGAACTGGACACAGTACTCCAGGGGAGGCCTCACCAGGGATGAGGAGAGGGGCAGGATCACCTCCCTCCACCTGCTGGCAACACTCTTCCTAATGCACCCCAGGATCCCATTGGCCTTCTTGGCCACAAGGGCACACTGCTGGCTCACGTTTAACTTGTTGTGCACCAGCACTCCCAGGTCCTTCTCGGCAGAGCTACTTTCCAGCAGGTCAACCCCCAGCCTGTATTGGGGTATAGGGTTATTCCTGACTAGGTGCATGGGACCCTGCCCTTGCCTTTGTTGAACTTCAGGAGTTGAACAAGACTGGACCCAGGACTGACCCCTGGGGGACACCACTAGCCACAGGCCTCCAACTTGACTCTGCACCACTGACCACAACCCTCTGAGCTCTGCCATCCAGCCAGTTCTCCATCCACCTCACCATCCACTCATCCAACCCACACTTCCTGAGCTTGCCTATGAGGGTGTGATGGGAGAGAGTGTCAAAAGCCTTGCTGAAGTCCAGGCAGACAACATCCACTGCTCTCCCCTCATCTACCCAGCCAGTCATTCCACCATAGAAGGCTATCAGGTTGGTCAAGCATGATTTCCCCTTGGTGAATCCATGCTGACTACTCCTGATCACCTTCTTGTCCTCCAGATGCTTAGTGATGACCTTCAGGAGGAGCTGTTCCGTCACCTTTCCGGGGACGGAGGTGAGGCTGACAGGCCCGTAGTTCCCTGGCTCCTCCTTCTTGCCCTTTTGGAAGACTGGAGTGACACTGACTTTCTTCCAGTTCTCAGGCACCTCTCCTGATCTCCAGGACCTTTCCAAGATGATGGAGAGCAGCTTAGCAATGATGTCCACCAGCTCCCTCAGCACTCGTGGGTGCATTCCATCGGGGCCCATAGACTTGTGGGTGTCAAGTTTGCCTAAATGATCTCTAACCTGATCCGCTTTGACCAAGGAAAACTCTTCCTTTCTCCAGAAAAATTAAAAAATGTAAATAGAATTTATTCGTTCCCTAGCAGCCCCTGCTGGTTCCTGGCCTCTGCCATGCCTCCTCCCACCAGGGCAGCTCTCCCAGGCTGTGCTGCTCCAGTTTTCAAAGAACCGTACTATCCGTTATTCTGTGAACCGAAAAGTATTAGTTCATCAAACATGCAAAACTGGAGTGCTCGCCTTAGTGCTGAAGTGTATGAAATGAAGAAGAACTTTTATGACTCCTATGCCAAATCCTGTGCATCTCCATGACATATGGCTTTTCTGCCTACAGGTGAATACAGAGCCAGGAATGATACCATAAATAACCATAACAAAGAGTAGTTTTGAAGTACCTGAAAAATAATGAGTGTTTATGCCCGGCCATGTATTTCAGTAAAAAGAATTTTGATTATTATATTTAATGCGGTGGAGAAAAACAAAACATGAACAAACAAACAAACCAAAGCACAAAGAAAAAGAAGTGATCAGAATTTTTCATGTATAGGGCTTTCTTGATGTGTGTTGAACATCCCAATGTGTTTACACCCACCACCTCCAAGAAAATGTATCTAAGTAGCATCCTATAGTGTAAGACACCATAATTGCTGAAATATCTCTTTTTTAAAAAGGAAAATAAAGCATAAAATCAGATTCAAGTGATTATTCAGTTCTGTGGTAATTTTTGTTGGCTTTTTGCACGTATTTAAATGTATCTGTGCCATGTTGGAAAGCTTTGCACTGTGGAAATAGATTGTGTGCAATAAGATGTCGAATCTATGCAGCTTTCAGGCAATTAAATACTTCTATATCTCTTCCCACCCCAATTCTATCATGTCAGTCATATACAATAAGTTTGATTATCTCACATGCTAGGTAGAAACTAAAGTTTTGCTGGGAACGAAGACGATACTAATGCCTAGCTTTGTCTTCCCCGCCTCCACTGCTCTGCAGTGCTATTTGGTGCTCCGTATGTAATTTAGTTACGCAATTTAATAGCTGTGTACACTTATCTTTCTTTTTTCTTTCCTTCTTGTTCACATTGCAGCTGCACCCAGGTTGAATGCATTTTTGTGTTTAGTTTTCTGGGTTTTAGGAGACTGCAGTCCTTCTGAAATACAGACTGAATCACTGAGTTACTTGCTCATTGCATAAGCTAACACTTCTTTTATTTCTATTTTTTTCTTGTTTTCAATCCCATAAAAAGAAGATTCTAGGTAGTGCTGCCTTGTCTTTTCTAAGAATGATATTAATCTTTTGGGGAAATATATTTTCCTTTGGAATATCTACATGCTTCTGCTCAAAACTAGTGCAAATGAATACCAGAAAAACTCAGCTGCAGTGACTATATCAAAATCTTTGCTCAGGCTACAATTCCTTTTTGTCTTGGATTATAAAATGTTTCACTACACCATTTAATGGTTGGAAGAAGGCAGTTTTTCACTGCAGACCATTTTTGTGATATGGCTAGTGCAATCAATGGCAGCTTTAATGCTTTTTTGTCTGGTGAAGATCTCAAGAGAACATTTTGTAGAGGACTTGTGTGTGCATGTTTGCATTGCATGCGCATGTATACTACAAGAGAGCTTTATGAGAATATATACACAGATAAGAATAATATAGGTTATCCATTTTCAGGATAATCCTAACAAGACTAAAACTTTTAATTTAATTAAGACTAAACTATTTAATTTAAGTGATGTGTTGGAAAACAGAAAAGGTGGTCATAACCTTGTAAATGACCTTGTAGCTTTCTCCTGTGCAGTCCTAAACAACTGCCTGCTTATCTCATGAGCATGGGGATAATTAGAAAAATCCCTTCTGAGGGTTATTGCACAGGTATGTGAATGAACAGGAACTGTATGACATTTTTAAACGTTAGTTCCAAAAAAGTAAGTGAAAATTTCTTAAGTGTTAGGGATTTCATGCTGCTACTGTGTGTCATTATTAAGGCAGAACAGTGAAGGATGTTAGCAATGTTTATACAATTCTGGTGAGAATGGTGCTCACTGTCTCTAAGATAGAAGCCACCCTTGTATGTAATCACTGCAAGCAACAATGACTATTTTTAAAGTTGGATATTTCATGAAATAACCTGTTTACAAAACTTTGTAAAATAAATAAAATAAGAGAGTAGTAGCAGATGATACCTTTTTAATCAGTTATGTTCTTAAGCTTTTGGACTATTTGAGAAAGAAATAGACAAACAATATTTAGAAAGCTGTTTATCAGCTAATGAGCTAGTTAATCAGCTGTTGACAGTTTCCTTTGTAATGAAATGCATTTTTTTCCATTCCTAGAATCCAGAAATGCTAGCAAAGACAAACGTACTGTCCAATTAAATTGGAAACTCAAGGGAAAAAAAATATCAGCATAAAAATGAATAAACATGAAGTCTGCATTCAACAAGGATAATCATTTGACCTGTAGAAAGGTAGTATAGGCAGTATGAGCTAGACAGAGCTCTGCTGCAGTCTTTCAGTGATCACTGATCACTTTTTTAAGTACTTGAAATCTTAGGTCACAAAAGATGGAAAAGAACAGAGATGATTCCATCATTGTCCCTGAATTGCTGTTATTATTTATAAAGAATAAAAGGTGATGTTGATAATTTGTGGATAATTTAAAAATACTCTAAATGGCCAGTGACTATCATCTCACCGTAATATTATCCAACTCGGGCAGTTTTGCAAGGCATCTAATCATTACTATGATGCTAGGTAGGAATAGTTGCTTGCTGACCTAAGAAACTGATTACCTGTAATGAGACCAAAAGTAGTCATTATTTTTGCTACCTTTAAAACAAATAAGTATTCTGTCTTTCATGTTTAATTCAGCCGAGGATAGCTTTTCTGCAGACTAAATGGACTACGTTTTTCCTAGATTCTTCCCATAGGCTCAAATGGAGCTGAAAAGGAAAGCAGCTTTTCCAAAACAAGCAGGAAAATCTCACTTTCTTTTCAAATCTTCTCTGAGTTTGAAAGATCTGAAGTGTAAAGATTGCAATAATTTCACACTGTGTCAAACTGCAATGTTTATAAAAGGCAGAGTGCACTTGAAGTTAGACTGCATTTGGCTCTTTTGAGATATAATTGAGTAGCTCACAGGAGCTGAAAAGCTATGGGATCTGCCAAGCTACAATTTTCCCTGGTGAGGAAATTTCTCAGCCAGGACACAGCTGCGAGAGGTGGCTCTTTTCCTCTTCTCCTCCACCCCATCCCAATACGTGCACTGAACTTGACTGCAAGGAGTGTGCTGGGAGAAGGAAAAGGGGTGGGCTGTAGGGAAGAAATTACAGCATCCGATGGCAATGCTCTCCTGCCTTATGCTCAGGGCAACACAAATCATTTCTGAGATTCAAAGGCTGCAACCTCTACTTCACAGCACCAATTTTTTCAGCACATTCAGACCAATCAACATCCAGATACTGAGTTCACTGAGCATGGGAGAGAGACACTCATTTGTAGCAGGGAAGAGTGTTCATCAAATAACATAAGATCTGAGAAAATGGTATAATTGTGTATTTTCTTCACAAATTATTATGTCTCCCAGCACCTGTCTGTGAGTTTTGACAAATTAGGTATATTAAGACTTTTAGACTGAAGCATATATTCTTCACATGTCATAAAATGCCTGATGGAACTACTAGCATTTGAATTATGATTGGAGTGAATTTTCAGATGTTGTGTAAGTAGAAACAGAGCATAACTTTCCATTCTTAGTGTATGTTGCTGAAATTGGAAAAAGAAGGCAAAATTAAAATTCTTCTGTGTCTGTGAAGATTTGTGTGAGTGGGGTTTCTTTTTTCTTGTGTGGAGCTTAATACTGCAACATCTGTGCTATGTAACGTTTTCTGAAATGAGATGGATAAGCTATTTGCTTTCTTTTCTGCAGATTGTTATAATGGAAGTGCAAGGTTTAAAGTCAGTAGCCCCCAATCGGATTGTTTACTGCACTATGGAAGTGGAAGGTGGGGAGAAGCTTCAGACAGACCAAGCAGAAGCTTCCAGGCCACAGTAAGCTATTCTATCACTTTATACAGACACCTTTTTCTTTTGTGGTTGTGAGACAATCTAGTTTAATATCTGTACAGTTTTTACAGTTAATTTAGGACTAAGTTGTAGGAAGTTTGTCTTGGGACGTTACCTTAAATTCTTGCTGGGAAATCAAAACAGAAATTACACTTAATTATGATGAATTAAGTGGGATGTGTGAATGCTGTCCAAAATAAATACCATTGAATGCTTGTATGAAGAAAGGAGTTAGAGACTGCGGCATTGTGTTTTTTTCTGAATCCTCTGAAAATATAAACCTTTCAATAGATATTAGCCTGAGGTGATTTTACGTATTGTAGGTTAACGTGAAGGTGGTGTTGTGGAGTGTAACTTGTACAATTGGTGAAAAATCAATACTCAGTAATCAATCTTGACAAAGCTTACTCACCTGCTGAGCCTATTTCATTTCAAATTACAGGATCCACTTCTTTCAATTAATTTTTGAGAGAGGCAGTCAGCAAACTGACTCAGAGGGGAAAACATCATGTCATCTGTGGTTGAACCAGTCAGAGTGGCACAGATGAAAAAAATTAAATGTTTTTTTTTTTGGTTGATTTGTTTGACCTACACGCTGACTTCAGACACTTTTCTCTCTGTTAAAATGTCATTTGGAATCTTTTGTAGATAACTTCCCAGACACTGTGTTAGGGTTTTACTGGCACCATAGTGTGCCTCATGAAAAACAATTTTAAAATTGCACTTGTTACGATATCTGAGAAAACCTCTTAAACTGAGTTGGGATGTTAGCTTCTATTACATTCAGATCACATATACCTACTTCTGTTAGGTAAAAAAAAAACCAGAGTTTTACGTGCTGCTTTTGTATGTGGGTGTTGGGGGAAGGGCAGGAAGTCCTGATGTGGTAAACTTTCTTCTAGTCATATAGGAGATTTCCTTGACATGTAAGCCAGCAGCTGACTATAATAACATATTCAGACAAGCCTGGGAGATCTCTAAGTAGGTGGGACAAGCTGTAAAATTCATTTATCACACTCCCTGGCTGGGTACCTTCTGGGCTTTGGAATGCTCTGTCTTATAATTTGCATGTTGTACATGAAACATATGAACAGAGATTTCGAGAAGGAACTTCTGAAAGCAATGATAGCATACAAGACACATGCATTAAAATATATGTTTAAAAGGTATATGTGTTATGGATCAAAAACGAGTATGCAGCGTTCGTTGCTCATCTTTTGACCTGTTGAGGCATCCACGGACAGCTCAGGATCCCATGCGAGTTGCAGGGCCTCATCTTGGAGGACAGTCCTCCAAGTTGCACTTTCTCTTCAAGCTCAGAGTTGCTCTGCAGTCAGTGCCTATAAACTTTGCTACAGTCAAGATTCCCTTTCTTCTGAAATGGCATCTCTTTTTTCAAGTTCCCTTGAACTTGTTATTTTCTGTTTTAAAGGCTTAATTGACCTCTGGTATTATTGGTATTGGTCTGCAAATCTCCCTTTCTCTAAATCAACTAGAATAAACAGATTCTCAGATCTCAGGCAAAATCATTTTCCTTCCAGTAAATCGTTCTTAGCTGTTAAGGATTTCTTTGTTTCTCTCTAGCTATTGCCAGATATGGTGAACAAAACGTTGAAGGGATCTTTGTCAGTTCATGGTTGACTTTTTACATACTGAGGGCTGCAGTTTAAAGTAAAGGTCATAAAGCCAGTCAGAATGTATCTACTGTGTATAGATGCATCCCCTAAAAGCTAATGACAGGTGGGTGAGTTGATTTTCATACTTATCAAAGTAGAAACTTTATGAAAAGGAGGTGCCACAGTAGGTGAAATCAAGATGAGCAACCAGAGTATTTGTAGAAAAGGAGTATATAAGTGATGTTTTATGAATAAAGTTCGTATGCATTTCTATGAAAAAAATTTAGGCATTGTTTGGAAGGGGATGATTGAAAAATGCCTGAGCTGTACACCAGAAGTACAGGAATGGGAGTTACTAGTAGTGTAGACCTGCTTTCCTGCAAAACAGGCTGACTTGGAAGGGCACAGCTGATAGAGATAGCTCTAAAATGTATCTCATTTTTGAGCTCTTCTGAATTACACTATGTTCTGTTTGTGGCAAGTGCAGTTATGAGACATGAGTGTATGGTATGATGATGAGCATATATAGAGAGGTAGTCTGAGGTGAAGGAGGAGGATATTCAGTTAGACAAGCAAGTTATGAGCAAACAGTAGAGAAGATGGAAGGAGCTGTCTATGGACTGGGAGATCCTTTATTTCACACAGTAATTTTTATGGTAGAGCCAAATCAGATCTTCTTGACAGTAGCAGTACTACTTTTTTTGGTTGGTGACAGAGAGAATTGGGAGGGCTTGGTAGAGTTTAATCAGATGATTGCACTGGTGAAGAAAGTCTCGAACAAATTATTATAGGTTGGGAGAGGTCACGGAGTTTCAGGAGACCATAACGTTTCTCTCTCGCTCATTGTCGCGTTCTCTCTCTCTCTTTCTCTCTATCTCTCTCTCTCTCTCTCTCTCTCTCCCCCCTGTCCCAGCATGTTTCCAGTCCTTCTAAAATCTTTCTTTTATGACCAATACTTCCCTCCCTCAAGCAATTGACTACCTCCACTTGCCCCCCTGCTTTTTCTAGCACTCATCACTATTTTCGGATAGGAACCTCCTAGGGTGATGGGAAGGGTCAGTAATTGGATCCAGGAAGTATGGGAAGGGACTTTCTGCTCCTGTTAGTAGTGGTGTTGCTGCGGGAAGAGAGCTGCCTCCTTATGCCTTTAGTCCTTTGGCATGGACAAAGTCATAGAAGTAGAGGCCAACAACCAGCTGGGCCAGAACAGCCAGTCCGTCTCTTCTCTGACACAGGCAAAAACAAGCTGTCTGCCACCCTAGCCTAGTGCATTCTTTGGCTGCTGCTGGAGCTGGCTTCTTACTAGGATAATTTTCTTTACTCACATTCTGGTATCAAGGAAGCTGATCCAACGAGGCTGCGGAAGGAAAGACAAAACTCATTGTAAAAAGAAACCGAGAATGAAGAAGACTCGTAGCTCAGCTCAACTCTTTAAATCAGTAGCAGGCACAAATCTCAGATAAATGAGAACATAATTTCAGATTTTATATAGAACGTGCAAGTAGAAAAGGGTAACAGAGCTCGCATAGTAAGAGTAGAATGAAGTGGAGATGAAAAATGAATGACTACCATCAGCCTGGGGAGACTGCTAGCAAGAGCTCGAAATCATGTGCTTGTCACAGGCGATTTCTGTATTTGGCTTTATAGTTTTGAACTGATAGATACATTTGTTAAAAGAAGCAGTACAGGAAAATATTTATGCTTATTATTTTCATATGTGAAGCATCAGTGCGTGAAGTTCAGTGCTACTACTTGATCAGAAGTTTCAAAAGCTTTGGCAGTCAGAAGTAGAAAAATAGATATTCAGACTGATACTTTAAGAAATACTTTGTGGTTTCTGACTGCATTTAACCTCTGTCTGTTTTCTGTCTATTTGAAAAATAACCTTATGAGTTTATATTGAAGTGCTTCATGCAATTATATTCTTCCATAACAATCTCAGTAAAGCTCTGCTTTTATGTATGTTACTGAGTATTTAATGGTCATTCTAAAATACAAATGCTATAAAACAATATAGTTCGATTGAGGTAAAGTTTTGCAGTTTTACAAAAGGATCAATTATATAGCCTCTCGTGCAAAATCTATTAATATTTTATTACTGCCTCTGAAATTCATTCCTTCCAACTGTTTCCTGCTTTTTAGTCCTGCAGAAAAGCCCTCCAACATAGACTGTGACCTTTTCTGCCAGAGATCAGTAAGCAGGGCCTTTAGAGGAACCCCTTCACTTGTATGAAGCTTTGCATAACTTTGTTGTTGTAACACCACAAGGGGTCATCTTGCAAAATCCAGTGCTCATTTCGTTTTTCAAATATTACTGATGTTGCTTATTTTTCAGTCTTGTGGAGGCTGATATCCACATATTTTCTTATCATTAATTTCATTCATTCTGATGTTTAATAATGTAGATCTTTGCAAGTGTCATCTTTTGGATATGTATAATCATGCCTAAAGATAAAAGTAGATGACTGGCTTTTTGGGAATATTTTATCTTTTAAGCATATTTTATACTAGAAGTGATATTCTATTGTCAGATATGTATGAAATATAAAAAGATCATATCTTATATAATGAGAACATTTTAATAGAACTAGGATGTTCTTCATGTAAACAAGACAAACCAAATGATCATTTCTGCCTGCAGTGATTAGATAACCTTATAACAAGGTCTATTATATAGTAGAAGCATATGAAGAATGAATGATTAAATATTAAATATCTGAAGAGAGGGGGCAGGGAACCTCAATCAAGACCTCACAAATAAAGTTAATGCTGCTTGCTTTATTTTTATTCAGTGCTCTATCATCATTAATTCCATAAACTATCTGAAGGGTGGCAGTCGGTACTTGTGGATACATAATTAAAGATTACTTAGCCAAAATTTTATATAAGAGTTAAAAAAAGCAATAGCCTAACGTTTTTAATTTAGAACTTCCTAAGATGACATGCTTGCTGCTGGGAAAAAA